GTGTAAGACAAGAACTGGAAAGGGTTAGGAGTGGAAATGGAGGAGGGCTGGAGAAATGGCCCAGTGGGTAGGAGCACTGGCTGCTCTTCCAGAGGACTCAGGTTCGATTCCCAGCACCCATAAGGCAGTTCACAACTGTCTGGAACTTCCAGGGGATTCGAAGCGTTCACACAGACATACATGTAGGCAAAACACCAATGCATTAAAAAAAAAAAAAAAAAAAAGGGGGAGAGAAGTCGAGTCGTGGCTCCTACTGTGTGTGTCAGGGGAAGGGAGGAGGAGAGAAGCAAAGCCCGTGGTTTGAACTAGGCTGGGGGAGATCAAGTATGCAAATCAAATGATAAAAAGTTGGGGTTGGAAAGCTGGCTCAGCAGTTAACAGCGCTTGGTGTTCTTCCAGGAGGCCTGAGGTCTGTTCTCAGCACCCTTACAGGGGGGGCTCACAACTGCCTGCGATTTCGGGGGTTCGGAGCCCTCTTCTGGCCGTCTCCAGCACCCTCATGCGTGTAGCACACGCACACGCACACGCACACGCACACACACTAAATCCAAAAAAAATCAAAATCCCGTGTCCGTCAGAATCAGCAGCGTGTCTTTTTGCTCAAGCTACCTGTCCCGTCTGCGCCTCGCTTTTCTCACGGGCTGTAAAAAAAACGGCCAAGAAAGAAACCACGCGTGCACGGTTCGCGGCAAGCCTAAGTTAAGCAGAGGCAGCGCGGGCATCCTCCGCAGGGCGGGCGCGGGACGGGCCTGGGAGGTTCGGGCAGGCCCGCTTACCTAGTTGGGAGCTCCGCCGCGAGGGCTCGGGGGTCGGGCTGGAGGGCCGCCTCCCCGGGGTCCTCGGCTGGCGGCGCGGGCTCGTGGATGGCCGCGAGGGTCCGGGGACCGGGCTGGCGGGGCGTCTCGTCGGGGTCCTGGGCTTGCGGCGCGGGCCCATGGTTCCGCCTCCGCTGAGCCTCCCGGGTCCCGGGTCCCGCGGCCGAAGACGGACGAGAGAGCGAGGCGACCCTTGCGCGTCACGGACACCGGAGCTCCGCCGCCGCCGCCGCCGCCGCCGCCATCAATTCAAAAGTCACCCGCCCCGCCCACCGCATTTTTAAAATCCCCAACTCCGTGACTCTCAGTGGCTGGCTCTGGAACGCCGCCCGTGGAGCGACAGCCGGAAGGACCAGTGGGAATGAAGGTCTGGCCACAGAGTCAGCCAATGGGCGCTCGGAGACGCGAAGGAAGGCGGGGCTTTCTCACACTTTGGTGGTTGGTCTTCGAGTGAAGCCGGAAGGACCAGTGAGAATGAAGGTCTGGCCGAAGAGTCAGCCAATGGGCGCTCGGGGACGCGAAGGAAGGCGGGGCTTTCTCACACTTTGGTTGTTGATTTTCGCGTGACTTGGGCTCGCTTTCTCCGGTGCCCTCTGGGCAAAAGGACAGCTCAGTTCTGATGTGGGTGGCAAGTTTGTGGAATTCATTCCCTCAAACGTTTTATGCTTTCATATCACCGTTGGTGTGGCTTTGGAAATGGGGAAACAGACCGCCCAAGACTGTGAAAACTCCATACAGCTCCCGGGACCCTCCCGAGAGCAATCAGCAGATAGGATTCAGAGGCCAGGTTAACTGAGTGAACTTTTCAGATGATAGGATCGTGGGGACAACCAGGACGATGGGATCTGAGGACAAGGTCAGGCAGGGCAGGCGCCAGCACTATTCTTGGACCATGCTATCGAACACCATGACGGAACTGTCTGAGAAAAAAAACTAGCTTTTTCCTTTCTCCTGGGAGTAATATGAATTCGGGTCATGTCTCCGTAATTAGAAGAAAGAGAATTTCAATTTCGTCATTTTGCTTTTTTGAGTTTTCTAAATGTTCTACCACGAACGTGTACTCTAATCAAGAAAAATCCTTATATAATCAGTGGTTTCACAGAAGCCTTCTGCAACATTGGGGTGGGTGGTGTAAAAATGGTGCAGCTGCTATGGAAATGTGTCGTGGTTTGAATCTGAAATGCCCTACAAAAGCTTGGTCTCCAGTGCAGCAGCGTTCAGGGGTGGGGACTTTGGGAGATGATTGGGCCATAGGTGCTCTGACTTCATCTGTGGATTTAATTCCAGCACTTGAGAGGTAGAGGCAGGAGATTTGCTACAAGCTTGGGGGCAGCCTAGCCTAGTGGGTTTGAGGCTAATCATCCTATGTAGTAAGATTTATCTCAAACAAACAAACAAACAAACAAAAAACCCAACCAAGCAAGCAAACCAAGGCTGATGACATAGCTCAATGGTGAAGCACTTGCCTCATACACAAGGTTCTGTGTTCAATCCCCAGTATGCTATCCACAAACACAAAATTTAAACATAGAATTATCCAGAAGTCCATGTTATATATTCAAAAGAAAGCATATATATATTCATGCTTGCAGCAGTTTTACTCACAATGACCAAACAGTGGAAAGTACCTGGGTGTCCATCATCAAATGAATAAAGAAAATGACTATACAATGTGTGTTACTCACCTTTAAAAAGGGAAGCATTTCTGACATATGCTACATGGATGAACCTTGAAACCACTATGCTAAGTGGCATAAGCTAGTCACAAAAAGCCCATGATTCCACTGGCCTGAGGTAGATATGGGGGTGGTCCAATTCATTTAGAGAGAAAACAGAATGGTGGTTGCTAGGAGCTGGGGGGATGGATAATGGGGCTATTGTTTAACGGGGACAGTTTCCAGTTGGGAAGTGAAAGTAGGTCTAGATGGATGGCAGTTGTGGCTGAACACTATGTATGTTCTTAATGCCACCCAAGTTTTATATTTGCTATTTAAAAAAAGAGAAGAGCAAGTTTCTCACTAAGTCTTTTAAGGCATAGTCAAATCACAGAAAGATGACACCCCCCCCCCCCCCGCCCCCATTATCCAGGTCAACATGGACGGAAGAAATCCAGATCCTCAGCAACTGTTAATTAGACAGAAAAACAACCTATGAACTCTGCTTTAGACAGTCCTTTATTAAACTAGAAGTAGAGTTGGGCGGCGGTGGCGCATGCCTTTAATCCCAGCACTCGGGAGGCAGAGGCAGGCGGATCTCTGTGAGTTCGAGGCCAGCCTTGTCTACAAAGCGAGTTCCAGGACAGCTAGGACTGTCACATAGAGAAGCCCTGTCTCAAACAAAACAAAACAAACAAACAAAAACAAACAAACCCACCTAGAAATAGAAAGCTAGATAGAAGACAGAATCTAGAATTCATAAGGAACTGATGAAACCAGCTGCCTAGGAAGCAGTAGTGATGGGCGGCTTCAGGTAGAAGAAGGAGGGGTGTTCATTAATGTATACATTTTTACATAGTTTGGTTTTTGAACCAATCGAACTACTGATGTTTTTAATTAAAGAAACCAAGCGGACTGAAGATGTCGAGGTGAACACTAGTCGTCTGAGCTCTAGACGAGTTGAACGGAACGAGAAGAGTAAATTGTAGATCATAGGAGCCCTCAGAACTACTGGGGAGTCGAAAGGGGGGAAATTCGTTGGTTGTACCATAATGTCTGAGACAGGCTCCTTCAACCAAAGCTGGCATCACAGAAGAACGAGCAGCTGAGTCAGGATTTGAACCCCACACCTAGCGATGGCGTCTACCTTCTGTTGCCACATCACTGCTTCTTGTGGTGGTTTTACTTTCCCTTACTGAAGAGGGAAGTGGGTGCAATTTCACACATCTGAAGTCCCGCCTACTCTAGAGTCTGATACAGGAAGATCATTCAGGACCAGGGACTGTGGCTTATATCATGCTTTGCTGATTTGGCATCAACATGGCGACCTGGGAGTTGGGAACCACCACGTCACTCTTGCTAATTGGAAAAGATACACCCTGGCTTGACCAATACAGTGAGAAGCCACAGGGGCGTGAGGAAGAGGGCAGTGACAGTCTAATTCAAGGAGCTGTGTGACTGAGGTGTCACCACACCCAACTCGAGAGGTCTGGCTTGAAAAATGTCAATTTCGATAGGCATGGTGGTTATGACTCGTCATCCCATCTACTTGGGAGACTGAGGAAGACCGAAAGCTATAGGGCCCAAGGCCGGTCTGGACAACTAAGGAAGACTCAAAATCGAAGGTAAAAACAGGGCTGGGGATATAGATCATTGGTGGAGGGCTTGCTTAGCATGCATGAAGCCCCTGGGTTCAATTTCCAACACACACACACACACACACACACACACACACACACACACACACACACACACACACAATCTTAGGGCCACTTTGATGATCAGAACACACAGTCCTCACCTTGACTCTAGTCAAGGGCATGGCTTGAGTGTGGGCTTTTATATAAGCTTGGATTCTCGCTTCCAGTTTGCTAGCTCTGTGACTTTGGAGATTCACTTGCCTGGCATAAACGATAGTTTCAATCTTGCACAGTTCAGGTAGTGACACTTATTTCATCACTGGGAGAATTAACTGACTAGGAAGTTGCATTTCCTTCTATCTTGGGCTGTGGCTTTCTTTTCTGGTAATGGATCCCATGTGCCCTGTTCAAGTTCTACTGGTATAATAAGCTGGGAACAGTGTTTCCTTGAAGTTGTCTTGTGACTTCTACATGCATATGCACACATGTGTACACACATCTGCTGCTACACATGTACTTGGACATGCACACACATACATTTAGAAAGTAGATAAGGTTCAGTAAAGTTGATTCTGCCCATGTGGCTGGAATGATCCCACAGTGGAGGTACACTTGAGACAGACATGTTGAAGATGGATACATTTTTCTAAAGGAATGCTCCTCTGTCTCCTGCATTTCAACACTTGGGAGGCTGAGACAGGAGGACTGAGTTTGAAGCCAGCTTAGGGCTACAGAGGAAGTTGAATACTGTTTCTACACAAGACCTTGTTTCAAACAAAACGGGTTCATGAAATGATTTCCAAGGGCTGCCTGGAATCCCCCTGTAGTCTTTCCCAAGCAGAGAGGCCCTGGAGTATGTAGAACAGAACATTAAATCATTAACGAGGTGCTAGGCATGATGATATATACCTTTAATTCCAGCACTGAGGAAGTAGAGACAGGTGGATCTCTGTGAGTTCGAGGCCAGCCTGGTCTACATCATGAGTTCCAGGCCAGCCTGGTCTATGTCATGAGTTTCAGGACAGCCAAGGCTGCAGAGTGGCAAAAAACCACCATGGGGAGGAGAGGTACCACTTTTCTTTTCTCAGGCTAGTGACAATCAGAGGCCCACAGAATGCTGGGGCCACAAGGCACTGAAGTCACATCATGTACACCTGTGCTCCAGAGTGGCCAGATCTGGTGCACACACTGTATGTGCAGTCGAGACCTAAAGCTAGGTCTTCGGACAGGCTTAAGGAGTATGTTACAAGTTCGGTTCCGATTTGAATCTGCTCACTGGATTCTTTGTAGCTTATGATTCATAAGCTAGATAATCTACCAGGACAAGTTAGTGTATAACACAAAATATTAGGGTTGTGAATTCCTGCTGTTCAAGTTCACATTTTTGCCCTAGCACAGCAGGAAGAACTGGGAGGGCTGAGAGTGGATGCCATATCCAGGCCTGTGGAGGCTGGGTCCCAACATTACAGGCTTCAGGAATAAAAGAGGACCTGGTGTTCTGCCATCCTCTCTGGCAGCAGCTGCCCGAAGGGGTCACTAGGGAAGGGTGGCGTGAGGCCTTAGGGATAGGGCTCTCACAGCCCACCAGTCTGCATGGCCTCAGTCATCTGATGGCAGCAGAGACCCCCACCAGGGGCTCAGCTGGCGTCATTGATAGGAGTCCGGCTGTCACCCAGCAGTCTCTCCTGTTCACCCTCTTGGGTGGGCGTACGCCAGCCCCTGCACAGGCAGGCTAGCAGTGGACGGTGCAGCCCGTTGTAGAGGGCGGTGCCCATGAGGAGGATGAAGAAACCGAGGATCTGCAGCGGGTGGAAGGCCTCCCAGCCCAGTGCGAGGCTCAAGGCCCAGATGACCACGGTGCGCAGGCTGTCCAGCACCATGCGGGTGGTGGCACTCAGTTCCTTGGTGACACTGATGCCCGCGAAGTTGAAGAAGGCGATGCTGCTGATGTTGCCCAGCAGAGCCAGGGCGATCAGGGGCTGGCGGCCGACCTGGCAGAAGGCATCCAGGGCATCCTCCAGCGTCCCACGAGGGTTCCCACTGAAGGAGCCAGCGGGGATGTAGTACATGGGCACGAGGAGCAGCGAGAGAATCACAAAGCCGAAGAAGCCTGGGGGAGGCAAGGAGATATCACGTTCTCCACCCTGCCTGGGCCTTCCCAGCGTGGCCCACAGGTAGGCAGCCTCTCCTCTCAGAACCACTGTTTTCGTTAGGTTCTTGTGGTCCACTCCTGGAATCTGTCCCTCTGCCCTGACGTCAAACCTATATGGCACGCAAATGACGCCTCACTGGTTTCCAAACTCACAACTTGCCCTGTCGGGAAGTTCCTCTTCCCTCCTCCTGTCTGTTGGAAGCTGTGGCTCCAAGGTCACCTTTCCCGCCCCAAGAGACCCAAAAAATGGCTCGGCAAATGAGGTCCCCAAGTATAAATGGTCTAAGCTCAGGGGACTGTCTGGCCCCTTCCTGCTGTCTCCGCCTCTAGAGAGAGGGGCGTGTATCTTCATCATTTTTCTTCTCTGGCTCCTCTCACCTAGCCTACATCCCTGTGGGGATGGAGGCTCAGTCTATCAAGTGGCTACCAGCCCCTGCCCTAAGCTCCACTTTCATATTTTTCACAGCACACGCTGCCGCTGCCCGGCACCCTCTTCCCACCGGCTGTTGCTCCCAGGCCTGTGCCCGCACGCACGCACGCACCCTCAATGCCCACTGCCCTGAGTGGGTGGACGTTGTGTCTGTAGACAAACTTCTCCTCCAGCACCATCTGGATGGCAACGATGATCTGGGCCATGATGATCAACAAGTCACCTGGGGAAGAGAGGCGTGAGTGAAGCGGGGCACGCTGGGACCAGGGTTGGGGGGCGGTGACAGGGGGATCCAGGGACAGAAGGGCACGCCAGTTCCTGACTTCCTGGCCCGAGGGCAGGGCAGCAGGCAGGCCTGGGGTTCTAGATGGCCCCGCGACCTGCCTTGGCCTGAGGACCACACAAACAACAGGCCACTTCGGGTGTAATTGTGATTCTGAGTGGCTCGGGTGGCCACTTCATTGTACAATGGTGCCACTGTGGCGTGTGCTCGGGTCTGGGTTACCGGGATGAGAAATGCATGGGGCTTGGCATGTGTCAGTAAATGGTCCTTCTGTCCCTCTCCAAACCAACAGTTTGTATTTGTGAAGAGGAGCCACAGGACCAGACAGCTCCCTCACGCTGCTTGTCTGTCTCTTCCCTTGGGACAGTCACGGTCTTCTGGTCTCCCTCACACTGTAACCCATCATGTCCCCATTAGGTACATGACCCGACCCAGGACACACAGATGGCAGAGTTCGGGTGAATCTGTGGGACGACTCTATGCTAGGCTTCCCGAGAGGGTCAGGGGACAGAGAGGGGCACTGGGGACAGGGGGAGCAGCCGCAGGTCCCCAGCTGGCCTCACCTGTGATGACGTCGCTGAGCCTGTGTTGACTGTCATGCTTGCTCAGGAGGTCAGCGAGGCCAACCACCACCAGTCCCGCAATGGTGGCCAGGATGCCCAGCCACTGGCTTGGTGCCAGCCTCCGGCCCAGGAAGGCCACGGAGAACAGGCCCGTGAAGATGATCACCGCACCCCGCAGCATCTGGAAGCTGGAGGCGCTGGTCATGTTCAGGGCTGGGGAAGGAAAGACATGAGGATTGGCTGTTAAGGACAAAGGCTGGCAGCCACCAAGGTGTCCCCGGGGAGTAGGGACAAGATGAGCTTGCTCACAAAGTCCTGGGTGCGCACGTGTGAAGACTGTGGGGAGTGCCAGGGTGGGGTGGGGCTGCCGATTCCCTGGTGGCCTCTCCAGCGTGGCCTCACTGGCCAGGCTACTTACGTACCCACGTACATGAGGCTGGTTCCAGTCATGTCGCACAGGGCTGGCGGCAGGAAAAGCAGGGCACTGAAGGGCTGCTGGGGCTCTACACTGGAGTCGGACTGTCTTCTGGCTCTGCACTGGAGCAGGTAGAAGGCGGCGAGGCACGAAAACTCTCCCAGGAACATGCCCACTGCCTGCAGGAACAAGACTCGGGGACTCAGCACTGACGGGACTTCGGGGCCCTCCTTTATCGGTACTGGTTTTTGTTTGTTTTCATATAACCACGTTTCAGACAAGAGCTTCCCTAGAACCCCCAAATGTCAGACAGACAAAAGCAGAGTAGCTGTGGGTAGCCAGCCAGGTCCCTAGGCCCCATAGGCCCCATAACATCTCAATGGACACCCTATGGGGTGTGGGCATGGTGTAGACTCAATTCATCAGGCCAATCTTTCAAAATCCAGATATAGACACAGACTCAGACAGGTTCAAAGACTCATGGAAGGCCCAATAGCCAGCTGCTAACACACTGGGAACAAATCTGAGTCTTCCAACCCTCAGTCCAGAAATGGGGTAACTTCCATGTCCCCTATCCCAGTGGAGTTCTGGGCTCAAGGGAGATGTACCCCACACTTCTGTCACTGGAGCTAGTGTCCATGTGTCCAGATGGGGCAGGGTGAGAGCATGACCACTCATCAGGATCATACAGACCTCCCACAGAGGACTAAGCCCCTTCCTGGGGTACTCTTGGATTCGGACCCTATTCTGGGAGAGGAGAGAGGTAGGTGGCTTTTGGGGAACCAGGTGAGCCTCACCCCTAGGCCAGGAAAGAGAGCAGCCCCAGGGGTGCCCAGCTGAAGAAGCCTGGAGATGGGCAGGGGGAGAGGCTGGTACCTGGAGGAAGGGATGCTGGAAGCTGTGCTCCTTGCCTCCTCCACAGCCTTCAGCTTTGAAGTTGTCGGCCCACCTGCAGCAGAGAGGGAGAGGTAGACAGGGGAGGTCAGACTGGAGGCATGGTGGATGCCCCACCTGGCTGGACTCACACTCGGCCCCAGCTGACACTCCTTTTCAGAGGAGCCTGTCTCCATGGGGAGGGGTTTTAAGACAGCGTTTCATCGACCTCCAAACAGAATCACAGCACTTGTGCTTGTACAACTTGTAGAAATCAGGTATTATGGTTACATTAGTGTTGTTTATATGACGTGCATTACACACATTACTCCTCAAAATAAAATTAAAAGCCACGGCTTGAAATTTAGTGTATTAAACATACACATTGCAAAATAGGGGGTGATTTCTTTTTTTCTTCTTCTTCTTCTTCCCCCAAGACAAGGTCTCACTATTCAATCCAGGCTTGAATTTGAAATCCTCCTGCTTCAGGTTCTGGAGTGCTAGGACTATAGGCATGTACCAAGCCTGGCAGCACATTTCCTCTCTAATGTTTGGTAACTTTATTTCAACTTGTTTGGCTTCTTTTGAAATCTTTGATCTCTACCAGACTGTCAAAGGGACCAGTACATGAAAAGTGTCTGGTCATCTGGACACGGGGCCACACATCTGTAAGCCTAGCATTAAAGTGGCCAGGCCAAGTGGACTGCTGTGAGCTCAAGGCCAGCCAGCCTGAGCTATACAGTGAGTTTGAGGCTAGGTTAGGTTATGTGTAGAGACCTGCTACCAACCAACCAACCAACCAACCAACCAATCAACTAACTAACCAACTAACCAATCAACTAACTAACCAACTAACCAATTAACCAACCAACCAATCAACTAACCAACCAACTAACCAACCTAGCTTCTTGTCTAGAGGGGCATTAAGGCCCAGGAGATGACCACTGGATCCTTCACAGCCCAGAAGGCCCTTCCAATGCTTACCTAAAGCATGCGGCACCTGCCATGGAGTACAAATGCCAGTGAGGACCACCACGGACAGACCGGTGGTGGAAATGGTCCCCACCCAGAACCCTTCCCAGCACACTTCAGGCAGCTACACCCGTCATTCTGAATTGTTGCCACCTAAGCACAAAAGCTCCTCTGACTTTACTTCCAGACTAGTCCATTTCCTAGCTGGAGATCCCTTGTCACCTGGAACCACTCTGCCCTTGTGACTCTGATCAACTACCCCAGGCCTTCCTAATCTTCCACCCTCCTGGCTGCTAACTTCTGGAGGTGCTCCTGTGGGCCCAGGACTAAGCCATGTGAATGATATGGCCCAGACAAGAGACTGGCAAGATGGTGGCCCTTCCCTCATGTTGGTCATCATAGGTCAGCTGAGAAACTGACTGTAGCAGCCTTGTTGCCTCCTGACTCCAGCTGATGCACATTAGCTGTTCCCCATGGGCATGGGCTCACACCCACTGCAGTTCCCATACCAGACCGTGGACGTCTCTAAGGTCAAGACTCAGGGCTCCTCTGGAAAGGTCTTTTCCTTGAAACATCTCACTAGGGAAGCCATACTGTAGCATACCCTTGTTCCCCTTGTTCCGGACTTAACCAGTTAATAAGCCTGAGTTCCCAAAGGACAGGGTAGGGCAGTGGGATGTGGGGGGTACTTCTGGAGGGTTCTTAGGAACTATGGCCAAAAGACAACTGAAAGGAGACGTTCTAACATGACTGGCTAGAGGGGAGAAATCTGGAGCTCTGTAAGGCTAGGGGACGGGACAAAGTTAGTCCCAGCCTCAGCTCCAAAGGATCTAAAAAGCCCTTACTCCATGACAGAACTTCTCTCATTTCTGGGGCCTCATCTGCTACTGGTTCCGGCTCTTGTGCTTACAGGTAGGAGGAATGGGACACGGGGCATGAGTGGGGGCCCGAGACAAGCTGCAGGCCCGTTGGGAACTCATGCTTGCTGTGGTTGAAAGAGCCTCTGTGAAGGCCTAGGGGAGGCCACTGAGCAAGAGGAAAGGGTGAGACCGAGTGAAGGGCTCAGAGCCACCGACCCAGTAAGGGAGCAAGCCAGGGCTCCTCCACCGACCCAGTAAGGGAGCAAGCCAGGGCTCCTCCAGGAGGTAGAAGGGAAGTGGTGATATCAAGCCTACGGCAGCCAACCACAAGCTGAGGCCCGTGCTTCCCTTTGGAGAGGTGAGTGGTTGTTACCGAAGTCATTTTCTCATCCTGGAGCTATTCCTTTAGCTCACAGACTGACACCCAAGAAGACCTTCTACAGCTGGATACAGCAGTGTGGCCATTACCCAGCAGCACCCTGGGCTACTGCTTGTGCTCACAATCTATGCTCACATCTAATGCTCATTCCCACCCCACACTCACTGAGGTCTGAGTGAGCTTAGCATGGGTCCTTCCACACCCTCCCCCCCGCTGCTCCCTGCACATCCCTGCACAGTCCGAGAGGTTCTGTTGACTGAGCCTTCCAGACGCTAGCTTGGGAATGTGATAGGTGCTTTGGCCCCTGGCCCAGGGTCCAGGCGATTGACTTCCCATGGGTCTGGGGTGGCCCGTGATGGTGCAACAGGGCACAAATCTGGGCCTGTCTCCTGGAGAGTTAGCTGGCTGGCTGCCCAGTTAAGACTTTCTCCTTAAGAGTTAGTTGTCTAGGCTTTCTCTACAAGGTAGGCCTGGTTTGTCTGGACAGGCATTGCTGGCTGGCTTCCCACTGGAGAAATGGAATCTCTTTGTATCTAAGGACTTATCCAACCAAAGGACTAGGTGTCAGCTGCAGTCCAGTGTATCTCTTCAGGCCTGGGAGGAGACAAGAGCAGGGGTCTTGGCTACCGTGCATGTTTTACAGACAAGATCCAAAATCCAAAGTGTCTGAGGATGACAGCTATGACCCCTAAAGTCAGATGGCACTTTGCTGACTGGCCCCTTCACTATGTAGCCCTGGCTGGCTGCAAACTCACTATGTAGACCAGACTGGTCTCGAACTCACACAGATCTAACTGCTTCTGCTGAGATTAAAAGTGTGCACCCCACAAACAAATTTTTTTTTTTAAACATGCAATTCACTGAGCTCTGCCTATGCCAGGCCTGCGCAGAGCACACTGCACGGGCAGTGTGGTTAAACCTCACAAGGATCGTCGTTTTCAGAGAACGACGAAGGCTTGGGGTGCAGAGACACGTTCAGGTTTTCCCAGCTTAGAACGTGCATATCTGTGGTCGAGCCCCACTATGGTTTACCATCAGAAACAGAACACCCAGAAGGCTCAGCCTTGGGTCACACAGGCTGGATGCGTTCCAGATGTTCCCAGGCCAATGCTGACAAGTGTCAGAAGCAGTAGATAATTCAATTCCTGTAAGACCAGGCCTCCAGCAGATGCTCAGTACACACCGCTTTATGTCCCTTTCCCCTTCAATTCCACGTGCAGCCAGAACCATCTTCTCTTGGGTAGGGTCAGTGTGGTCTCACTGGACTTGTCCTACAAGTTCCTGGGGGAGCACTCAGCCTCTGGACACCCTCTGCTGCCTGAGGCAGAGGAGGCTAGAAGGGCTCTGGGTGGTGTCTCCAAAGTTTCACAGCCATGACACGTGGAACTAAAACAAACTTGGCCATTATCCTGCAACACCCCTTATCTGACGGATGGATGAATCCAGGGTCCAAGATGGGCCATGGGAATCACGGCGTACAACGGGGGCTGGTAGCCGGGGCTGGCATTGGGAATGCTAGCATCCAGTTCTGTGCCTTCACCCTCTCAACTTTTCCCAACCTTCTTACTCCAGTCTGTCCCTGCTGAGGTGACGGGGGGGGGGGGGGGGGGGGGGGGGGCAGCCCCACAGATGGGTCTCCGCTCTCTTTAGACACCTTATTCTGAAGCGGTCGGAGGGTATACCCTCTCCTGGCAGAGGCCAGCTCCTTTCAGGGTCCCCTGAGTGTCAGCAGGCAGGCTGTGGGGTGAGTAACCATTCTGGGTGGTGAGTCACTCACAGCGGGCCTTCCATGCCCACACTCAAAGCTCAGCATTCTCGGAGTTGTGCATGCAGGGGTGACAGGCAGAGACTGAAGACATGTCCGATGTGTCCAGTCACTGCTGAGTCCTGCAGAATTGCTGCCATTCCCTCCTGAATCCCACAGGTTGGTCAAGCTAGTGAGACAGCTCCTTTGTCTCATCCAGGGGTCTTCAGAAAGGCCACGGCTTCCCTGTGAGTAGGTGGCCCTCTATTATGACAGGATATACTTGGTGGCAAGCCCTCCCATCGCTGAGGAGGCCTTCCTACAGTTTTTGGGGGGGAACAGGGCAGAACCTATCATATCCATTTTACAGCTGAGGAGACTGAGGCTCACAGAGGCCCAGCGCTTCCTCTCATCACACAGCTTCTAAGTCTCACGTTCTATCCCTTCCACTGCCCTGCCCTCCGGACAGGCTCTCCCAAGCTGGTCCTGTAGCCACGTAGAAGCATCAACGCCAAGTCATTCATAGAACCCAAAGGGCAGGGGGCAAAGTGCCAAGGACAAAAGTCAAAGGAACAGTGGGCGCTTCTTCTCTTACAAGGGCCTGGTGATGCCAGGCAGGGTCTCCTGGCCACAGCTGGAGACAGGAGCCACAGGTCAGGTTCATAAGCTCTCCCTGGCTGGGTGGGCTCGTCAATCCTCAGAAGCTTGGGATGGGGCTGCTTGGGAGCACAGGAGGGAACTCGAGGGTCTGTTCGACCTTGGTTCTTCCGGTGGAGAACCTCAGTTGCATCTGGACAATGAGGCTCTCTCTGAAATGGGTACTTGCCATGGGCGCTGACTCAGGCCGACATAAATGGCGTGGTCTCAAGGATTTGGTCAACAGAAGTGGCTGGTGAGGGGACAGGGAAACAGCCACTAAAAGGAGAAGCACCACTTCCCAGGGAGGGGACCTTGGCCAACGCCCAGAGAGGGCTGTAAGGGTTAGTCAAGGCTGCAGTTACGGCTCTTCTCTCTGTGGGCATGTGATAGCTCTCTGTGGTCTTTGGAAACCTGCTGAGTGGCAGAAGAGAGAGCCGACCTGTGGTCCCGGCAGGGCAGGCGGCACACGCTCTCAGACGCTTCCTCATCGGAGGCTGCCAGTCTTCCCAAGGACTCTGGGAAAGACAGTATGTGCTCTCTTACAGTCGAGACACTGCCCAGGTCTGCCTGCCAGAGGCTCTTAAGCTGAGCAAGTGGGATGATTGACAGGATTCCCTGACCTGGGTAGGGCTTGCTGTCTAGTCCCATAAGGAGGGTACCCTGAGGGTGGGGGTGTAGGGGATACCATTTATAGGATTACACCTTCTAGACACAGTAGGGAGATAAGAGAGGAAAGCCCACAGAGCCAGGACTTGGGGGCAGTACAGTCCTAACATCATCCTGACATCAGTAAGCCAAGTCACAAGAAGCAACTTCTTTGGGGGCTTCCTTTGTAAATTGTAGGGGTCAGACTGGATGGTTTCTGTTCATAACAATAATGAAATGTCCATGGTCATGGTGGTGCATGTCTGTAAACCCAGGACTTGGGAGGTGAAGGCAGGAGGGTCCTGAGTTCGAGGCCAGCTAGGGGCTATAGAGTGAGACCCTGTTTCAAAAGGTAAACAGCTATATAACCGACTAGTCTCCCCAAATGAATGGTGAGGTATCCGGCCTTGCTCTTAACTGACGGGTAAGTGCATGGATTCCAGAGATGGACCACTCAGACTCAGATCGAAGACATCCCTTGGGAGCTGAGTTGAAGCTGCACGCAACTGAATGTTTTCTGTGCTTCAGTTTCCCATCGAGGGATGATGAACCCATTCACCCCCCTCCCTGAGATCGTGTCAAAGGACGCTAAGGTAGTTGGCTTGGAACTTGGTGGGCCTGGCTGCTATGTATTGGCCGCCTGCCGCTGATGTGGATGTACCTAGAGGGAACCACAGGCTAACCACGCCATTTTCTTCTTTTGGTTTTTTGAGACAGGGTTTCTCTGTGAAACAGTCCTGGCTGTCCTGGAACTCACGCTGTAGCCCAGGCTGGCCTCGAACTCACAGAGATCTGCCTGCCTCTGCCTCTCAAGTGCTGGGATTAAAGGTGTGCGCCCCCACCGTCTGGCTAACCATGCCATTTTCAAAGGGCAGCTCACATCACATCACGGTATGCTTGTTGCTCCCCCTGACCTTCATTCATATCCTCTCACTGTCTGCTTCAGAACACTGTTTACAGTCCAGCTCTGGGTCCTATCTTAAGATGGGGGTCGAGGCAGGGGGCGTCCCGAGAGGCCCCATGCAAGGAGACAGGGTAAAGGACAGGATCAAAGGTTAAGCCTCTCACCTGGGAGCCTTCTTCCCGACTTGGAAGCCTCAAGGGGTGGGGCTTCCTGGGCCTGAGGATCCCCGGGCTTCCTACCTGACCGGTTTGGAGGTTTTTAAAGGAATGACTGAGTCAGCTTGGTTTATCTAAGCAGTAAATGACCATTTGGATTCTCCCTGGGGACAGCAGCCTAATAGCCACGCTGAGCATTCGAAGTTCTCCTAAACTGACATGAGAATCTCATCACAAGGCACTCAGATAAGTCCAAGAAACGCACAGGCTCCACTCTGGGTTCTACAGAGTGTGCCCTCCGTTAGGGGAAGGGAGGGACCATTGTGACTGGCATGGGTGTACACACCTGTCTCTTCCACCTCAGATACTAAACATCTCAAAGCCAGGGACCTTCTCTTGGTCACTTCTGCCTTCTGCTCTCCCACACTAAAGGCACTTTACGGTCACCTGATGAAGTGACTTCTCTTCTCCTAAGCATTCGCAGCTTTGATAGAGTTTGTGAGACAGAAGAAACCTCAGAAGTAAATAAGAAAGTCCAGCTGGGCATTTGATGCTGTGAACAAGTCACCTGGAGCGTTCCTTTCTCTTTCCTGCTTTCATAAGAGTCCCAACTAAGCATCAAGATGTGCTCTAATCCCCCTTTCTCCATGAACGACCTATGGCCACCTTCTCCTGGCTTCCCCATCCCTTCAGCTCGGCCACTGTAGGAGCTCCGGTACCTCCTCTGCAGGCCCCCAGCCCCTGCAGGGAGGCGCCCAGTCTCTGCCCGCAGCATGGAGAGCGGGTCTGGGAGGAAGTGATCCAACCCTTTGGCTCAAAGATGAGGGAACTGAGGCTCGGGGACGGAAGTGACCGCGAATCAAAGCGGGCTTCAGATGCCCGCATCCTCCCAGCCTCTCACCCCATCGTCCACGCCAGCGCGACTGAGCTCTCTCGGTAACGTGGAGGGCTGGTGGGGCTGGAGAGCAGCCGACGACGGGAGGGTGACAGGGCAGGGTGCAGGGTGCCCCGCACCCGTGGGCCCAGCAGGCCCCTCCCGGCCCGACCCAGACACTCACTTTGCTGAAAGCGTGTTGATGGAGCCGGTGACCAGCATGAGCCCGGCCAGGAACAGCTGGTACTTGGTCCAGGCCATAGTGGTGGACAGGGGAGACCACTTGAACCAGCAGCTACAAATCGGGTCATCCGGGAGGTGGTGTCTTCGACTCAAGAGCTTCCGGGCCGAGCGTCACGTGACCTTGCTGGCCCCCGCCCCGCGCCCGCCAGCCCCGCCCCGGAGCTGCTGTCCGTCTGCAGGCTGGCGAGCTGGAGAAGCCCAGGGTCTAGAGGGTCTGTCTCTCTGTCTCTGTCTGTCTCTCTGTGTCTCTGTGTCTCTGTCTCTGTCTCTGTCTCTCTCTTTTTGCACTGTTAGTGCCTGATGCGTGCTAAGCAAGCACTCTACTTCTGAGAGTACACCCCCTTAGCCTCCCGGTTTGTAAAATGGGTGCTTGGGATCATACAGAGATGATTAGGCAATCCTAGAGCATTTTGTAAACAGTTTTGAGAGGTTGAGCCTGGCGACTTGGTAATAGCCACAGCGTGGGAATCTCCTCTCTCCAGGATCTCCAGAGAACTGGAGGCCTGGGAGATGTCCCTAGGGAATCCCAGCCCGTTGACTTGCTCACATCTTTCAGTAAAGTGGCGTAAGCGTCGAGTTCCAGCTTCCGGTAGGGTGTTTTTACAGTTAAAACTAGTAAGAACAAACTGGGTGTGCAATCCCAGCACAGGGAAGGTGAAGGCAGGATGGACAGGAGTTCAAGGGCAGCTTCTACTGTAAGGAGTCTGAGACCAGCCTGGTTACTAAGTTAAATAAATAATTAGACTAAAACGAAAACCTAAACCCAGAGAAGCCCAAGGAGTTAAGATCATGCTTATGAGTGCGGTGGTGGTGGTGGTGGGGGAGGTGGGGTGGGGGTTGGGGTGATGGTTGTGATGGTGGTGGTGGTGGTGGTGGGTGTGTATGTGTGTGTGTGTTGGGGTCACAGACTCAGGTTCTTCCGGCTCCCAAACACTATGGCTTGGGTATGGTTTGTACACGAAGCCTCCCCAGTTATCCTTCAGGACCCCTCTGAATGCTGCCCAGAAGCATCCAAATGGATGACCAGCCCTAGGTTTGTCTGTAGAGGATTTCTAGCCTGTAATCAGTTTTTTTTTTTTTTTTTTTTTTTTTAGGTTTTTCGAGACAGGGTTTCTCTGTGCAGCTTTGCGCCTTTCCTGGATCTCGCTCATCTAGACCAGGCTGGCCTTGAACTCACAAAGATCCGCCTGCCTCTGCCTCCCAAGTGCTGGGATTAAAGGCGTGCGCCACCACCGCCCGGCTTGTAATCAGTTTTTGAGACAGGATCTTATTATATAATCCAGGCTGGCCTTCGGCTCACTGTGCACTCCAAGATGGGCTCCAGTTCATGACTGGCCTTCAAAAACATTTTTAATTACAATTATTTATTGTGTGTACGTTGGAGGGCACATGTTACATGTGGGAATCAGAGGACAATTCAGGAGAGTGGGTTCTCAGCTGCCAGCTGCCCACCTTCCTGTTCCCTGTGGATTTAATCTGCAGCCCATGCCCTACCATAAGTTAAAAAAAACTCAACAAACAAACAAACAAGAACACCCCAAAGGCTGCTTTCACCCAGTATACATATTCTCTCCATTTCCAATGATCCTATTACTGGAGATACAGAAATAAGCTCCTTTGACCTCTTCTTTGAACTTGTGAACATGGTAGTATAGACTCAGAAAAACCCTCAAGGGGCTGTAACAATTATTTTGCAAGATCAGATGGAGAATGTGGGGTCTTGAACGAAATACAGGAGGTTACCAGAGTGAGAAACATCCTTCATGCAAGAAGAGTCATGTGTTTGATGGCCCAGAGGCAGGAGAGAGTGTAGAACATGTCTTGGACCTGTAGAACATTCTCCAGAACTTTCCTTCACTGGAGCTTGCTCTTTTTAGTTAAGTGGGGGATACGAGATCCAAGAGGGGACTTCTGAGTTTTGTGTTCTCCATGGCATTTCTAGTTTGGGTGATTTCAAAGGAAGTCATAATTTATCCAAAACTGTTTACTGAGGCATTGGAGCCATAGATGGAACACAACTGTGTTCTAAAGGGACATCATCTGCCAGCCTCCTCCCGATGGGAGGCCATTCTTACAGTCAGTGGGATTCTGGACTATTTTCCCATAGGTTCAAGCCAAGGATACTGTCCTGAATGTAAACATTACTAATGACATTGGTGTCACTAGCCCGACATGATGTCACTTGCTGAACAGTCTCTGTCTCTAGAGCCACATTATAAAATGAATTTTAATTTATTATATCATGTTGCAAGCATTCATCAAACAGCCGTCTCTGGAGTCGGGTCCATGGGAGGATTTATTGGCAAAGGCACCAGAACCCATCAAGTGTAAGGCCCAGTCAGGGTCAAGTATGGGCTCCCAGAGCAGCCAGACAAGGTCACTGCCTTCAAGGAGCTCAGGATGCAGTGGAGGAAAGGCTGAACACCGGCCATACTCTGTGTGAGAACCTATAAGGGGCAAAGGATGCTGGAGCAAAGGATGGATTCCTCAAGGAGGCAGGAGCCCGGGATGACAGTGACAATCAGCTCTATGTGAGGCCTCTGCCTCAGTTTTCACAGCAGCCTGTAACTGAACTAGTTCTTTTCACCTGAAATACCAAACACTAAAAATGGTGAGTTTTATAATAGAGAAAATCTATTGGCAGAGAAGCCGAATACGGAAGTGGGAAATGACTCCCCTTCCTTCTCTTCTTCCTCTTTGTCCTCTTCCTCTGCCTGGCTTTCCTCCTCCTCTTCCTTAAGACAGGGTCTCATGTGGCCCAGGTTGGCCTTGATTTTGCTACATAGCTGAGAATGACCTTTGTATTCCTGACCTGTACTTAGCATGCAGGGCCCCTGGGTTCTCTTCCTAGTACCGGAAAAGAAAAAGAAAGAAAGAAAGAAAGAAAGAAAGAAAGAAAGAAAGAAAGAAAGAAAGAAAGAAAGAAAGAAAAAAGGAAAAATGAATCTTGGTGCGGTCATGCACTCTTTAATCCCAGTAGTCAGAAGGCAGAGGCAGGTGGATCTCTGGGAGTTCAAGACCAGTCTGGTCTACATTGCAAGTTCCAGGCCAGACTCAGTCAAAAGAAAGATTGAGAGAAAAGGAGAAAATGGAAAAAAAAAAAGGTAAAAAGAATTTGAGAAATAATGCTTGAAGTTGTCCTCTGGCCTCCTTGTGGACACAGATAAGGTCAGACACAAAAATAAAAATTATAATTAATCCTGTTCAGTATATGTCTGTCCCAGGTAGTATTAGAGACGTACTTAGTATGACAAGTTGCCAATAATAACTTTTGTCAACAATGAACTCCAGATCCTGTTATCTAGTGACATGGTGACCACGTTAGTATTTGATAGCAGCCTGTGATGTTCACTCTTTTGCACCTAATGACACATATCTCAAAATGTGTGACACATATCTCAGAACGTGTGACACATATCTCAGAATGTGTCCCTGCCTGTAAGTGACAAGGACGGCGATATAAAATGAGTCACTCCTCTTCTGAAATCGAATTTAACGAAGACTGCATTTCGGCTGAATCTGCCTCGATTCTGCTCCGAGAGTCAAACACCAACGTCTAGAATCCGATGATTCACCCCCAAATGAGTGATCTGCACTGGCTAGAAAGCGGGATGGGGTGGGGTGGGGTGTGGGTAGGGATGATAGAGGGATAAAGATAAGAAAGAAAAAGAGAATAACCGTATGTGGGACTGAAGCTGGAAGGAGCAAGTGACTTTTTTTTTTCTAATTATCTCTGGTCACCATAGAAACCAGCTGTGAAGTCAGCCAAAAGGAGCTAGGGAACCAACGTCCACACTTCTCTGCTAGTGTGGACAGTCTATACTCATCTTCCCTGTGGTCTAGACAGTCACACACTCTCCTTGTCAGGTCTGACCTGGTTCCCTTGCCTCAATTTCTCCCCCAAGATATAACCCAGCCTTCTTTCTCTCAAGTCTATCTTGTCCAGCCACAACCTCAGATGGCTGCCTTTCAAGACCACCCTGAAGGGAGAGGTGGACAGCACACCCAGCGTGACCAAAGGGAGATCACATTCTAGCCAGAAAACAGGACGCAGGAGGGGAAATGACCCAAGGATATATAGAAAAAAAAATGTTTTTAAAAATCAAATCTGACTTGGCCCGTCTGTACACCAACCTATCTCTGTCCTTCCTAAGATAAAATAATTCTGTTCTAATCCGGAATGTGATTAAATTGGTCGGGAAAATATTCATACTTTCAGACAAGCCGCAAACAGACTGGCAGTCAGCTCTGAATACAAACAGGGTCTGCGGCAAGCATTTATTTGGCACCGGAAGTTAGAGGTTCTTTGAGGGTAACATGCAAATTTGTTGAAAATGCTCCTGGTTTACCGAAGACTGGATTAAGTTTTTGCCGAGCATGAGAAGTGCTGACGTTTTTGTGCTGCCCCCTAGATGGGTCCAGATCTTACAAACTAGCTCCCTCTCCGGCTGCTTTGGGCTCCCTTGCCCCGCAGTCTGCCTTGCTATACAAGCTGTGAATACTATTTCCTTTTTCACAGAAAGGACAGTAATGTAGATTTTGTAAAACTGATGTGGAAGCATACCCACCCACTTGGACTTTGCCTCTTGAGGCCCTAATGCCTTCTTAGCCCATCTTCCTGCCCAGTGTGGGCAAGCATACGAAGCCCAGTTTTTATCTTCAAGGTCCACTGTGGCTGATGGCAGAGACCTGGAATCTCTCTGTAAGTCACTCCCTAGAATGAGGGCTGGCCAGTCACTCCAGGATATCCATGTGGCTTTTCTAGAAGTAGCGACCCCTGTTCTCCACCTGGAGCTATCCTTTACTCCCTTCAGGTTCATGCTTAAAGCTTTCCTGAATCCTAGTTTCACAAGACTAAAGTCCTTGCTTGACGGGCCACACCCATCTGTTAAGCGTTACTAACGGAAGAGCTGACAATTGTCAGTATGTATACTTTAGAGTCAAGACACCTCTCCTGGGGTTGGGAATTTAGCTCAGTGGTAGAGTACTTGCCTAGCAAGCGCTAAGGCCCTGGGTTCGGTCCTCAGCTCCGGGTCAAACCACATTGGATAGTTTGACAACGGGCTGGTGGGCACCCCTATAGCTCCTTTTATGTGGTCAGGAAAGACTGT